ACACTTTTTGCAAGTTACTGTAGGATCCATAGTGAGTGTGAAAAGAAGTCTTCCACTCATCGCCTGCAGCAATATGGACCAAGTGGTATGCATGGTGGAGGTCAAGCTTAGTGTAGACTTGGCATGGCTAGGAGCATCAAGGAGGTCTGATATGTGGGGAAGCGGATAATGATCCTTCTTTGTGATCTTGTTCAATCCTTGGAAGTCGACGCAAAGGCAGAGTGAACCATCCTTCTTGTGGACAAAGAGAACTGGTGCTGCATGGGTGTCAGGGACTGACCCGGGGTTGAGAGCGTCTGGGTATATCGCCTGGGGCTGAGGGCCCGGTAGGGTGTGGCACAGGCATGCATAACAATGGGCCCGAAGCAGACAAGGATTGGGAAGTGTGTTATTATTATTATCAAGGGGAATGTAACCTACTTGCCTAAAGTGGGAAGTGTGAGAAGAAGGTTGCTTCTCAGTTCCACTTAGGCTGTGTTTATATACATGTAGTTAAGGTCATGTCATCTGCACACACAGCCATGTCCATCCAGGTATCTCCACAAGAGATCCCAGGAGCACCCAGTGTGTGGGAGGCTGCCCGGCAGGTCTGGGTGTGTTGTACTGTAGCCGGGCCAATGGTACACTGATAGGAGGGAAGTCGTCCATGTAATAAGTGAGGAAAGAAAGAAAAGAAAAGAGAAAGGAGGGAGAACAAAAGGAAGAGAAAAGGGAAGAGGAAGTAGGGAAGGAGTGGGTAGCGGGGAACTGGGTCAGGTGGGTGTGCCCTGACAATGGGAGGATGTAGCAGGGCGGATGAAACTGGAAGCCAAGTGTTCCTCCAAGAACACATGAAGAGCTTCAAGTTCCAGGGGAGAGAGGGAGTAAAGGGTTCCTAGGGGTGGTGATGTGCCTTCCTCCAGGTCAATCTTCAAGTTGTATTCATGATGCAGCGCTAGTATGGAGGCTTTGCTCTTGCTAAACACATCCACAAAATCATGGTACTGCTCTGGAATGGCCGAAAGGTTGACAGCTTCGGAGGCTGAAGAAGCAGCATGGAGCTTAGCTTCTATTGGGAGTGTGCTCAGGCTATATGAAGTAGAACCTTTGAGTTTGCACAACTTTGCGAATGTGGAGTGGCTAATGAACTCGATGGAGGGAGCCTGGCAGTCAAATGCAATCAGTATAATCGGGGTAGGGGAGTCGACAGGTGGAATGAGTTCCAGATGTGATGGAGGGGTGTGTGGAGGTAGGACTGGTATGTTTGGAGGTTCAGAATGAGATACTGCTCTTTACCCAGTCAATCAATGGATTGTGGCAGGTGAGCCAGTTGTGTCCTAGAACCATGGAACAAGTACCATCCAATGAGGTGACATAGAAACTCATCTGGGTGATGTTACCGGAAGCAAAATGGAGTTTAATGTCTACTGCTTTAGTGATGACGGAATTTGTGGTCCCATCAAACAAGCGGAGAGACAAAGGTAAAACTGGATAGGTCGACAGGTTGTTCTTAGTCATGAACTTTTTGTCAATGAAACAATCCGACGATCCTGAACAACAAGAGCTTGGTATTGCTCATCGGGGGTGTTTTTATTATTGGGAGGGACAGAAGTAACAGGCAAAGGAGAAAAAGGAAGTGAGGACAGAGGAATTGGAGCAACAGATGATGAAGGAGGTAGACCATTTGGAGAAAACAGTTTTCCTGGATCAACAACAGAAGGGAGAGAAGGAGGAGGAGAAAATAGACCATTTTCAAACAAAAGAGAAGAAGAAAAACAAACAAAAGAAATGGGAATGATGAGGGAGGATGTTTCAGATATTGAGGCAGCACTCAAGCAAACCTCTTTGATAGCATGCAAGGGAGTAATGCAACCCCGGGTTCGTGCTGAGTCCACAGAGTTGTGAACTAATTTTTTGGCTCTACAGGAGGAGCCATAGAATGCACAGTTTGGGCAATTTGTGCCTTAGAAGCATGAGAGGATGATTTTGGGCAGTCCTTGACCATATGCCACAAAACATACAAAGATTCCCATTGAAACGGTGCTTACACTCTTCCAGCATTAGCTTGCCATTTTCACCAAGTTTTGAAGAGAGGTCCGGTTTGGCCACAGGGCATCCTTCAGACTTCTTCAGGAGGCTTCACAACCACAGCGGAGGTGGAGGTGGAGGGAATAGAGGAAGGACGTGTCATATCCACCTATGGCCATTGCCCTCCACTACCTCCAATCCTTCTGGACTACCTCCACTCCTTTGTCACTAACCTCAGAGCCCCTGTATTCCACAATCACCTCCAACTCCCTCAATGGTCACCACCCCCTCAATTCAATATATTACCTTCCCTAAGTACGGATCCCCAAAGGCCTCCAAACAGTTCCGACATCCACTAGCACACTCCCACCCCCGCTGGGCAATTCACTTGCTTGCCCTGCAAGTCTACCTTTGGGCCTATCCCTCCTTTCCATTTCTGGGTTATAGCCCGCCATTCCGCTAACCCTGTAACCCGACTTGTTGGTAATATTCAGTCAGCTAACGTTTAACTCCATTAGCTCCACTCCACTTGGTCCCACCATTCACAGGCCCGCCCTCACTGTAACTATATATATATAACTTGTAGATAGGTTACACCCTAGTGATAACATTGACTAGAGTTAATCCCCCTTTTTAGTTCTCGCTGCCAGTAAGTAAATTAGGGCACAGATGTGTAACTAGGCACAGCACTCCTGGTCTGAGTTGCTGAGGCTGAAGCCCTCCACCATGGAGACATTTCCTTCATCTCACATCCAGTCTCTAACACCTTAGCCAATTCACGCACCCTTTGTGCAGGAGGCCCAACCACATTTGTAGATTTATGGATGGTTTTCTGGTGCTTGTGCTCCTGCAGCCATTCCTGAATCTGGCACTTGGGCCATGACATCTCAGCAATGGGAATTGAGATCGCATTCTGGTTGTCAGGTGTGCACTAAACAATTTCTCCTTGTTAGAAACAGTGGTGATCTCAGCAAACTGACATTCTCCACCTTCTCCCTACTTGCCACCACCTCTGCTTTGCTCACTGCCACCTCCACTTTGCTTGCCACCACCTTCACTCGGTGTCAGTGCTGTCATTTGTGAGCCAATGTCCGACTCCTCTCCTCCCAAGGGGTGTCACTTTGGGAAATACCAAAACCAAAGCTAGGGAGGGGGGGTTGGCTTGATGTGTCAAAACAAGTTTTTGCCATGTCAAAATTTTTGATTCAAATATCATATATACAGGTCTAAGACACCTTGATTATACTCTATTTCTGTGCCCACTTCGTGTTGCATTGCTTGTTGTGGGACCCACAAGTCCAATTTGGCAGTATGTAAGTATCGAGACCTTGACATAACCTGTGGAACTAAGGATATTTATGAGTCACAGCTGCATTCTCCATATGCTGAACTTACCCAGACAGTCTCGCATCCAGCTGCAGTACACCTGAGCCATCCTTGATCTCTGCTGGAGACTTGAGAAGTACAACACATGAGCAGACTGGTAGCCTGTTTGGGTGTGAAATGCATTGGGCAGCCACTGGCACATATTGCTGGTTGTACAGAGGCATCAGCCACATCGGGAATGTGTAGCATTGCAGCTGTAGTAATTGGATCATGTGGGAGTTGGGTGGGGGAAGCTGGCAAGGTGTCGTGATCCATATCTGGACCGCTATTGCCAATATCACTGACAAGTTGTGAGTTTTCCAGTGGAGACTCATCTAAGTCTGTAGTACTGGTAGATAGTTCCATGTTAATTCCATTATAAAATATAATGTGAGACATACTGAAGGGAAAAGTGGGAGCTGTGGGCATCAGAGATGTCCAACTTCGCTGCTACAAATCTCCTTCTCTGTCATATCCATACAATCCCGACCTCTGCTCTGGCTCCCGGAACTCCGAACCTGACTTCCGTAGTCCTACTTCCCTTCCGTCACCTCCTCCTTGCCAACTCCCAAGAGGTTATCCCACCTCTGGCTCGGACACCACCTTCGGTCTGACTCCGGAACATTCCGGGTCTGACCCCAACCTCGACACCTTCCAGATGAGTACGCAAAACCTATGCTCCCAACTCTGGACCTCCACTCCGGAATCCCATTCACATCTCTGTCTCCGGAACCTCCGGTATTAGCTCCGACCTCGGACTTTGACCCCACCTCCGCTTATACCCATTGTATTGGTTAGCTCATTCCATTTAATTACGTTTGCCAATATTCCGGAGTTTAGCTTCCAAGTTCGGACTTTCTGGACTTATGTTGGACCTTGCAACTATTGCATTGCTCCATTCAATTCCGCTATTCTCCCTCTTGGGCTGCCGCTTCCTTTCTATTCAGTCAACTAGCCATTCCCCACTCCCAACCTCCTTCATTCCTCCTTGGGCCTTGGCCCTTCATTCCTCCTTTGAGAAACACCATTGAGTCAAACCCTTGACCCTTGGTGTTGTTCCTCTTTCCATCTCCTTTGTCTCCTTTTGTCCTACCCTTGCTCCTTTTGATCCCGGACCCCTCCTTATATACAATGTACATAGTAACTTGTAACCTCAGTCTGAAATCGACATGAATTCCCCCCAAGAGACTTTCCCTCTGCTAGATCCGAAATTAGGGACCCCTAGGACAACCAGCAATGGCACAGCGCTCCGCCTGAGTCACTGAGGCCAAGGTCCTTCCACGCTAAGTCTCCGATTCCACTCCGGAGTCGTCCAAATCCACCCGGTTCTAACATTCTCCTAGTTTCTGCTTGGTGGAGGTGGCAAAGGTGAGTATTTCTTGGCATAGTGGGCTGTCATATTATACTTCCACACCGAGTTAGCCCCCTTGGGACACAGAGGGCATTTGACTGGGATATTAGCACATGGATTTGAGGGCAATGGTTGACTGGCAGCAGCATAGGAGAATTTTACACAGGTTGAATTTGGATAATGTGGGGGTATTCCCAAGTGCATGTTGGATTAACTGAAATGGCAACTGCCATACCTTGGCAGCCCCTGAATGAATTGAATAGGGAGGGGGGTCCTTTCAAAGCTGCTGAAACCTGAAAAGGGACATCAGGTGAGATATTTCCCTAAGTGACCCCCCTTGCTCCTCCCTCTTTTCCACCACATGTGACCTTTGCACCTGTGCTTCTTCAGATCTTTCAGCAATTCTCTTGAGTTCAACCAATGATTGCCCCTCATATTCCTCACGACTTGCATGGCTGAAAAACCGCAGCAGTCCATGCCCCTCATCCCCCTCCTGAAAGGTGAGGTCCAGCTTCCATTTTCCAATTGGTTTTTTGGCATCAGGGTTGGGCAAAATGGTTGTCGGGGCCAGGGTGCCTGTCTGCACAGTAGGTTCTACCACCATTGGCTCCATTCTTGGTACTGACATCACGATCACCTTGATTGGCATTGTTGCTACTTGGGTAAACATTGTTGATGGGCTGGCCTTTGCTATGGGGATTGTTGCCACTGGTGGCACTGTCACTCTGACTGGCATTGTTGTTGCTCCAATGGCTGCCACTGGGGTTGCTACCACTGGGGCAGCTGTTGTTATTGGTGTGATCACTTCAGGGCCAGGTGTTCCCTGGTTATAAGGTGGTGAGTCTCAATTTTGTCAATGTTGCACTCAATTCACTTACATGTGCAGCATGATGATCAAGGATTGACACAAGAAGCTTGATGCATATCATCACCATATCATTGCCGGTGCTGAGGGAGTATTGGGATGGAATGAAATGGTGCATCAGTGCATTGAGTGCAAAGATGCTGCATGAGAAGAAGTCCTTCTGGTAAGCAATTGGCAGCCTCACAATCCGGAATGGAGAGACTGATTGATTTGAACTCAAATACAATGCGTTGAGCCACCACTGAAGAGTAGCGGCTGCCTCCTTGACTCTGGCAGGTGGCCCATTGTTCCCCATTGGCCAGTGTAAGGAATCAGCGATGAAGATGGTCGATTCCCTAGAGGAGATGACAAATGCAGTCCAGTGGTTGTTAGTGTGGGTAATTCCACCAAATTGAGAAATGGATCCAGATGAAAGCTCAGAGCCAAATTGGTGGAGAGTTTTGCAGGTACGGTCATGGCAATATCTTTTCAACCCATTTCCATCTGGTTGCATGGCACACCCTGTCAGGTACTGGATGTCAAGAGGGCTGAAAAGTCTAGCCTTTACATCATTGGCATCCAAGGCCCTTTCCAGAAGTTGGATATGGTACAAGATATTGGTGGTCACAAGGCTGTCAGGGACCGACCCGGGGTTGAGAGCGTCCGGGTATACCACCTGGGGCTGAGGGCCCAGCAGGGTGGGGCACAGGCGTGCGTAACAACGGGCCCGAAGCAGGCAAGGGTCCCTGGCCACTTAGACTAAAGTGGGAAGTGTGTTATTATTATTAGCAGGGGAATGTAAGCTACTTGCCTAAAGTGGGAAGTGTGAGAAGAAGGTTACTTCTCAGTTCCCACTTAGGCTGTGTTTATGTACATGTGGTTGGAGGTCATGTGGGGAGTGCCACGTCATCTATGCACACAGCCACGCCCGCCCGGGTATCTCCGTAAGAGGTCTTGGGGGCGTCCGGTGTGTAGGGCATCACCTGGTGTGTCCGGGTCTGGGCGTGTTGCACATTAATGGTACATCGAGCAAGGAAGTCGTCCGTGTAGTAGAAAAGGAAAGAAGGAGAAAGAAAGGAGAGAAGAAGGAGAAGGAAAAGGGAAAGGAAGGAGGAGAGAAAGGAGGAGGGAGGATGGGGGCAGTGGGTGAGGATAGTGGGATTGGGTGGGGTCGGACCGGGTGGAGTGGGGTCAGGCGGGTGTGCCCTGACAAAGGCATGAGAAGGTGAGGTGACGGAGCAGTCCCCCAATGGAACTCGATGTTGATTTTGAAAATCCAAGGACTCTAGCATTCCAGTTGCATGATAAGAGCTGCTTTTGGGTGGTGATGACAGCAACATGGTGAGTAGGCTGACAACCTGCCAATGCTTCAACATGCGCCTCTGATTCTTTCCACATTTTTTGGATACTTTGTATCTGAAATAGGACTTCCCAGATTCATAGAATGTTGATAGGGACATAATGTGTGCCAATTTTAATGGAGCAAGGAGGGTTGAGATCATTGGGATCATAGTTGTAAATTAGACTTTTGATTACTGGGCAGGGAGGCAGAGCATGCTATGGAGGTCACTCTCTGTCAATTCTTGGGTGGATGGTGGGCAATGACTGAGACATGCAGATATTATCTGTAAATTTCCCTGGAGTGATGGAAGCTTAAATTTGAGAAAGTCGGTGACCAACAGGGTTTCATTTGGGAAATAGGGTCCAATAAGAGTGCTTGGGATACCACTGTATAAGACAAGCTCATCTGTGCAAGAGCAGATATGTCATGCAAGAGCAAACCTGTCCATGGATGGTGACTGGGAGTAAGAATTTTTTTACAAGGGAGTACAGCAAACATGTTTTCAAATTTCCCATCCACCACTTTCCTTTTGAAATAAAATACATTTGGCTAACTCCGGTAAATAGAGTAGAGGCCTGGCCGGTCAGGTGTCATGCATCAAAATGAGCCAGCAGTCCATCACACATGTATCCCATGCAGGACCCTGGCAGTTGTTGGTCAGTGGAGTACAGTAACCATAACAACAAGGGCATCGGAATGCCACTTCAACAGTACCTTGTCCTAGCTCCAGAGCAGACTCATGAAATGGTGAAGGCCTGAGGCTGTGCTTGTCCGTGGGAGCAATATGGGCAGGTAACCAGCCTTAGGAGCAATATTGAAGCAGCATTGTCAGGGGATGACTCCCGGGTCCCCATGACCCTCCCCTATGGTCCACAGCCCTGTGGTGTAACCAGCCCTATCCAGGGCACTGTCAGGGATGCCACTCTGCTCTGCGCTGCACCCTCCCATTGCTCCTCTTTCCTTCTTCTCCCTCTTTCCCTTTCTCCTTTGTCTTCCTTCTTTCCTTTCTTTCTTTATATGGACGACCTCTCCCCTTACCCATGTAGCACGGACATGTCTGGCACTGAGTACCCTGTGTGGATACTGCACTGCTGGATATGCTGTGCATCTTCATTTGTACTTCTCCCCTCTGACACTTGGGATCACCTGCAGAGCCATGCACGATAACCCAGCTCCACCCAGGCTGATGTGGCACCCCCCATGTGACCCATTCCCACCTGTATATAAACCGAGCCAAAGCAAAACTGAAGAAGCAGCCTACTGCTTCAGGCAAGTGTCTTACTTTGGTTTAGTTTAGTCTTTCATCCCAATAATCACTACTGCTTCAGCCTAAGAAGCCAGACAGGGACACAAGCCTGAGTAAGGGCCACTCGCTATACATTCCCGCTACTCCACCACTGCCCGGGCCGCTAGCGCTGGGGGGCTACGCCGCCGCTGCTGCCTCTCCTGTACCGTCCCTGACAGGCACAATCTACTGTGGGTAAGAAGATGTATAAGATAAAGCAGTAGGTACATGTGAGGTCTCTGGGGTGGCTCAGCACACAGAGCCATAAGTGATACAAATGTGTGTATTTTATGGTAGTGTGTAAGCAGTTACCTGGAGGTTCCTGCTTACCCATGTGACTATATGTATCTAATTACATGTGGCTTGGGGTTCAGGGCTATTGCCCTGACAGTACACTTGCCTACTGTGGGTAAGAAGATGAGAAGGAAGCTAAGTTCTCATCTTCCCACAGTGGCCACCATATCAGGAAAACTTCCGGGGATACCCGGAAGTCACATGAGGAATAGGAACCGGGCCCGGAGCATGTGGTGCATGGAGCGTGTGGGGTGGAGCACACATGTGGGTCCGGGTCCGGGCTAGTCAGGGTGTGTGTGCCCTGACACCTTTTCTGGTTGGATGAATGGCCTGTTCTTTTGACCTGAATCCACAATGAACCTGTGCTAGACCAAGAATATTGTATCACTGCCCAATCTGGGTTGCACATGCATTTGAAGTGGCCAAAGGTGTCATATCCATCCACAGCCATCACCCTCCACTACCTCCAGTCCTTCATCACTAACCTTGGAGCCTCCAGATTCCGCAACTACCTCCAACTCCCCTGATGGTCACCACCCCCTCAATTCAATATATTACCTATGCCTCCCTAAGTATGGATTCCTGAATGCCTCCAGATAGCTCTGATGTTGTTGTGGGGACAACTCCGTTGTAGGAGAAATAATATTCAAAGAATAAAACAATGATCTATCAGAATAGTCAACGAACAGGTGACAAGTTCAGATGTTTAACAGATCTCATGATCTTTATGAGACTGGACAGACATTAGAGGATCATTATAAATTATCTACACCCATGTAGCATGAGATTTAATCTACTACAAGCATGCCTAGAACCTGGCATAGGTGTAATATTCAAAGAATATATCCCTACAACAAGAAAATAGCACATAGACAGCAGAATAAGAAGGAACATTGGGAAGGAAATGTAAATATCTCGGGAACCAGTAAACTTTTGACTGTAATATTTTGACCATCTGAAAGGACTGTTTCTAAACTTTATCCACGGTTTTGTTTCATTTTAAAAGCTTCAAAACTGACGGAGAAATCGCTCAAACGGCGAAACACCTTATAATTCATATATATTTATTTGCTAATTTTTATAAAAAGTAATGTGACTCAAGGGAAATATATTGGCGCCCGGAAGTCTGGCAGACCAAATACCATATGACAGAGTATTCCCCGGCGCGGGCGGACAGTTTTTGATCGCATCAGAAGAGGAGAAAATGCTAAAAAACCGGATCTTGTATATTTTCCCATGATTCATCAAAATCTTTTGATTTTAAGCTCAAGAAAATCGGAACAAAGGAATGATTGATGATCTGGATTTTGTATCATAAGCATGAAGTGATTCAGAAGTCCACGGATCAGTTAATTAATTGGGAAAGCTCTAGAACATTAGTAATGATGTGGCTTCACAAAAAGGGGTCAATTAGAGAACAGTCTAGAAAGTTCCTTTATAGCCGAGTCATTTCTAAAGATAACCGTTCGTAATTAAGGCAGTGTAGATCATAGCTTCAGCGCCACAAGACCCCGCTAAGATCGGCCCAAAAAACAAAGAACTGAATTACTTATTGCTGAGTCATGTCCTAAGTCCATTATTAAGCTTACACAGCCCAAGCCCCTATATCATTCTAGAACTATCTATAATACAAATGTAGCACATGTAACTAGTGCAAGGCGTGGGAGTAGAGAGGCCTCTGAAAAGCATAAAAGGCCGCCGCTTCTGCCCCCTCTCAAACCTCAGGTAGAAATAAAAGTTTAATTCTCCTCACCAGTGGTTGGTTCGTTTGCTCCAAAAGATAAAAGCAAATATTAGTTGTTAGCTAATATAAAACTAACATGTCACTCTAAGCGTGAGTTAGGGTCAGTTAGACACAGCTGAACAAAAGTGTCATAGTGAGAATTAGTGAGAATTTGGTGGAGGGACTTCTTAATTGAATAATCTCTCAGTTATCACACCACAGAAGAAAAGTGAGCAATCCTGAACCTGCTAGATAACTAGCACGCACTCCAAGCGATAGAAAGAGCAGTTTGGTCACTCCTGTATTGAGTAACAATTATTGCGGAATTATTTCATTAGTAGTTTTCCTTCAGTAAATTATCAGGAAAATCATGTCCTACTGAAAAGTGGTAAATCTAGGTGTAATATTGACTAGAAATCATAGTAAAGTCAATATAGAATTTAATCCATAGACAATCTATACAAAAGGTGAGATCGTTGGGGGGTGTTTATTGTTGTTTAGACAGTGAACAATTATATATTTGGCAACCAAAACACGGTCAGTATGCAGATCAGCACAAACTCTAATATTGTTATTGGACATAGGAAACTGGTTACATAAGGTGATCCAGCTCCGCTCCTTCACTGTTGAAGGAGAGAACGAAGGAAGGTCAGTTGGGAGGCTCAAATGAGACCACCACCAAGCTGTTCCCTGGTTCTTTAGTTAGGATGGGGAAGTGTACTAGCATTATTTGTTGGAAATATAGTACCAATCCGAGTGTTTTGGCTAATTATATTTTTATGGGTTAGTCTAAAGTTTCTGGGAATTGACTTACAGATAAACTGGGCCCTGTGGAGCTGTTTCTTTGTTGAAATTTCTTAATTTGTCTAG